GATATAAAGGGCACCAAAGTAAATACATGTACTGCTATTTCTAATAAAGTTTGATATCCATTGCAAGATTTTGTGTGCACAGTGGTGTGATCAAAAGCTCTTCCATGACCATTTCAAATACCCTTTGTTTTTCTCCTGATCGTCCTGATTCTGCAAAGTATGTTGTAATTAGTCTTTCAAAATCATGGTGCTAGCATGAACCCCACACCCTTTTGTGAACGTTTGTCTAAATTAATATAAGGTTTAATTTTACTTAACACTTAAACGTCATACAAGTAGTGCTATACTTGCCATGTGCTTTTGAGATACATGCACAAAAATCGGTAAAGTTATGGAAAAAGGTGAAGATAATAAAACAATCATTTTAAAAAAAATCAATAAACTATACAGTTCTGTAAATATGATACTAAAACCAGACTCCTGGAAATTTCAGAGGTAGGATCAGATGCATCTGAGAAGTAAACGTCTCCTATTGACCGGTTACACCCGTCATTGCCTTATATGTTAATATAACCGAACTCAAATAATAAAGTATGTACTCATTGCAAGTTTTTGTGTGCGCAGTGTGGGTTCGAGGGTTCTTCCATAACCATGATATCAAATATCCGTTGTTTTATCTCCCGATAGGTTTTGCTAAAATGGAAAGTGTCATTACCAAAAGATCAGCAAAATACTTTGATTTCACAGTACTCTAAAACTGCGATCGATATTTGCATGATTAAGAAGCCTTTGTAAGGAACTTTTACACCATTTATCTCAATTAAAAAATTTGTTGGTTAAGCGTCCGGTTCGATATATTTTCAGACATGTTGAAAGATAAACACTTATCTGCATATTTCAGACCTATACTAATCTTAGGACCTTTTGGTAATGATGAAACTTTTTTCGGACCTGCGGCTATATATATCGGGATCTCAATTCATACGTTCTCATTCATAGGACCAGTCTGAACGTCTTGCAATAAGATTTGAACCCTCTTCACACATCTATAGCAAATGCCCCTACCACTGCTCCAAGGGGCGACTTTAAATTACAAAGGAAATAATCTCATTTTTAAAAATACTGACATGCTGTACGAATTGCCAAAGAGTTTTCATGATGAATTCTCAGGATTTTAAAAAGAAAGAAAGAAAAAAAACCCATAAATCCTTACGTCTCAAACAATATTTTTATTTCAGTACTATTTTTGAATTTCTGGCCTGAATCTTAGGTAACTTTGACCTACATTTTATTTGTTATTTTGAATCTTTCAAAGAATTTATCCAATCGATGACCAGATGTAATAGATCCATTGGTTTGTGTTGTTTTTCTTGACACTAAAATCCTGTCAAAATCTTCCTTGATCCTGTACAAACAAGACACAGAGACCATTGGACAGCGACGCCTTATTTAAAATAATATGCTATTTGTCTTGAAGTAGACAACGATTTAAACTGAAATTTTAAAACTGTGTCTGAGTACGGATAAGCAGACATTAGTAATGACTTGTTATCTTCATGTCATATACATGATGAATGTATGTAATCGTTATCTGAATTGCCCCACTATAGAGGGATCAGAAAAAAAGATCAAAAAAGAATCTACACATAAATAGAACGTACGTCAATGTATTTTTTCATGAAGTCTAAGTGCGATCATCATCACCATTCTTGCATAAGCTAAGTATGTTCCAGACAGACATGTCGTGCTAATATCTCTTTTAATATGATCAGTATCATAGAATGGCATAAATATCTTAGATTCCATAGCCTTCAAAACTCAGCTAAATGTTCCCCTACATTTGCTTGCCCTCCACATGACTTATAAAACATATAATATTTCGATCATTAGGTTAACGAATTCAGACATCTTTTTAATGTAGGAGTCTAAATGTATTTATCAATCTTTTCTTTGAAATAATAAACTACAAATGTATATACAGAACTAAGAGTCTATAATTATATGATATTAAATACTAAAAACTAATTTTAATCAAATGTGATATTGGTATTCGAATTAAATGTTTTAAAAATTTAAGTCCATGGATGATTTTGCATACCAAAAATATGTATACGTACATTTCTACGTATACTATTAGAATTGCTAAATTTTTACATGCTCAGTGACCATATTTTTGAAGTTCTGGTGTTATTTTTGTTATAAATTTGATATTTTCAAATGACGTATTAGTATAAACTTATCACCTGTGATTGAAAGCACAGGCACCTGAAGTATGCCCCCCCCCCCTTTTTTTAATAAAAAAAATGTACATATGAAATATCAAAAATATAAAAATTTCCCAGTCAAACACATCTATATGTCGTTATATGCAAGCAGATTCTTTTTCTCACGTTTAAAGAATCTTTTTAATAAAAATACACAAGGTAAGAAACAAAAGTTGTAAACCAACGGGGGACCCCTGCTCTTACCAAGGTAATAATTAGTTATCAAATTTTGCTTTTCTTTTGCTAATCTTTATAATAAATATATAAATTAATCATACACTCATTGGCAGCTTTGGAGGAGGTTTTGGAGTCGCTTTTCTGTTTCGCCTTATTTGATTGGTTATATTTAAACTGTATAATGTTAAATACTAAAAACTAATTTTAATCAAATGTGATATAGGTATTTGAGCTACATGTTTTAGAAATTAAAGTCCATGATTTTGCATACCAGAAGATATAACAAAAAGTACAGTATTACGTATACTATTAAAATTGTTTGAATTTGATATGCTCAATGACCTCATTTTAAGTTCTGTTGTTATTTTTGTTATAAATTTGATATTCTCAAATGAATGACCATCACATATTAGTATAAACGTATCACTTGCGATTGAAAGGCGCCCTATCATATAAAAACATTTTTGTTTATTGTAAAAAAGCAAAAGTTTAAGAATATAATATAATAACAATTATTTGTGGCATTCCATGCACACCAGTTATTCACAGATTCTTTAACAAAGCCTTAAAAATATAGTATTGAATGAAACATTTCCAGCATAAAATTATCCTTAATCTGTCTATTTTAGAATCTTATTTTTCATTTGTATCATTTTTTTTAAAGTAAGTGACATGTAGACCTGATGTATATGCAATGACGATATTAACACATTATATATGAAGGTCAATTGTGAATCATGAATAATATTCAAAATCTCTTTCAGGATAACATCATATGAAAACTCTTTGTGCTGTTAAAAATTATTTTATTTTGACTAATTGGATTTATCATGACATTCTGGACATTGATTTTGAACGCGACTGTCGAAGTCGTGACGTAACACTTGTTAGGTGGGTTATTTAATGACGATATTTGTACTCCTTGTTTGTCAAACGTGAGAAATCGTCAGTTCGGTCTCTTTATCAATAGAATAGATAGTTTCTTCGTAGTTTGATAACACCAGTTAATGGGAATAGTTATCAGCTTCCTCCAATATCTTTTATGCAGTTATATATATATCATTGAAACTGTAGATGAAATAAGGTCAGTGAACAAAATGTTTTACTGTTTCTCTTTCTAGTTGATATGAAACAGGAAGACTGTAACATAATTTGATTGAAGGAAAACTTTCACAGGAGGCAACATTATAAAGAAACTTTAAAAAGGGAGGTTCATTATGCCAAGAGTAATTTCTTTGTTGACAATGTAATGTATTAAAACAGATAAAACTCCAGGTTCATAAAGCCAAGTGTATTTACCCTAAAACAAATAGAGATATTGCACAAAATCTTATACATTTATGTTCAGTTATAACTGCCAATCTTCAGAAAACATGTTTTAAAAAGTCAAGTTTATTTTCCTTGCGAATTCACGTGGATGGCATGCTTGATGGAAAACGACATACTCATGGTTTAATTTTCTTTTGAATTAGTTAAATTTTATAATCAATTTTTTATATACTTAGTATCTAGGACAAGAAAATATTTCAAAATCCACAAAAATTTCACGATAACAATGAAATATGTTGAGCATATTCGTGGAAGCTTTTTCAATTGTTTCATAAAGATGCCATTGTTCTCCTGGAAATCACTCTTCAATATTTCAAACCGAAATTTTATTTACATTATGTTACAACACACAAATAGAAAATTTAGCTTTATAACTAGAATTTATTTTATTTATTATTAATGTTGAAAAATACTTTTTTAATTTTTATGGTTTTATATATACAGGTTTTACCTCACAAATAATTTTTTTTTTAAATATAAATTGATTAAATTTTACTTTCCTTAAGAAATGTACAAATAGGCCAGAGAGAAAAGGCAAAGTTTTCAAGCACCTAAAATGTACTTTCAGGTCCTTCTCTCATTGCTAATTTGGAACATTCAATTAAGCTTAGAATTATACATTAAATTCGTACAAAATTTAATATTCTACTAAATTTAGAATTATGATTGATTGCAAATTACATGGCTTTTAAAGTATAGGTTGCTTATTTCATCTTTTCAGATGAAGTACGAATTCGATACTATACTGTAGTTTTAATTACTTTTTAAATACATGGTATGATTAATATTGCTAATGTTATCATCAATTTGCAATTTTCTGTTATCTGAAGGCTATTTAAACATATACATAATTACCTTTCATATTCTGAAAATGTAAATAGTAAAAGAACAAAAAAAATATACGTAACCTTTTTCAAGACAAGTGTATTTGTACACACAATAAGCCAATTCACAGATAATAAAGACTGTCATTAGATCGAAAATTCAAAACCCCTTTTGAGTTACACACGTCAAAATTATCTCATTACTGTGTGTATTCTGACAATTTCGTTGACGTCTGGTGCCGATTTTCCCTTTAATGCTTTTGAAAGCTCTCTTTTGAGCCTTGAAAAATAACATAAGAGCATACCATTTAGAACAATACACAAGATTGATTTCTATGGTATCGACACAAGCCATCAAGGTTTGTTCAAAGTATCATTTTCTTAAGAACACACAAAATGTAATGAGGACCCTTTCTATACGGTGTAAATCTTGGTTCTATTTTATTTTTTCACCTGTCAGAGATTATAGGAGGTCTGTTGTTTTATATCGTGTAATACACAGAGGACTGCTTCATTTTAACGGAATTACCTTTCTAATATATATTGTAAACGTTTTAAGTTGTCAAAGAAGAAAGAGATATATATTGGACATTTCCTTGTGCTGATTAAACAAACCATGTGTTTTATGTATGTTTAAACGACAATAAAAGGTAATCAGATTTATATTAGAATATGGAATACAATAAAATGTTCTCGTCCGTGGACTCTTCAAGAAGTTTCAACAGGCGGCACTCATATTACGCGGAGTATGCTGACATTAAACGAAGATTAAGTTTGGATAGCTCTAAAGAAAGAAAAGAAAAAGAGATATATGACAAATATAAAAAGGAATTAATTGACAAGCAAAAACGGGAATTACGAACAGGACGTAGAAAATTGCCAACACTTTTGACTAACAGTTATTTTCTTGCTTTGGAGAGTGTAACAGAAGAGCGCGAAATGTCGCGTTCTCAGTCGTCTGCTGCAAACTTGTCACGTGGTACCTCACCTGATAGAAAGCATATGCAATCTGCAGCGACAGTCAAAGTTGCTGCATCAACATTTAGGAGGCTCCTTTCAAAAAAGTCTAGAATCGAAAAGAGACATACATACCCAAAACTTTTCCACAGTCATAGTTACCGCGAAAGAGAGGCGTTCAGGAGAAAAATTTCATTTAAGAAAATTGCTAGGACTGTGTATATAACTCTAAGGTGGTATCGGCTACATAACTTTAGGTAAGAATTATATGCTTAATTTTGATTATTTCAGAGAAAGCTTTATTCCTTGTTTCGATTTGCTGGTAGACTTACTATACTCTGTTCTCGCTTGGCCAAAACCCACAGTCTCAGGTAGGTATAGCGTATGTTTTTACAATTAGAGTTTATATTTCATATCTTATGGAAAAAAATATCTTTTATATTAGGATATGTCAAATACACTCTTTGCCTGAACGATTTTTTAGCATTTGAGAAGTTTGCTTATTCACAGTTGTATAAATTCTCTAAAATGACTTTTATGTATTTACAATAAGTCAAATAATCTTTTTAATATTACATCATCGTTTGCATGAATTGATTAGTAAGACATACAATGTATCTGTATTCGACATTTGTGTCTTATAAAAAAAAATAAGCTGTGCTAAAATATATATGAAGCTTTTAAATGCAATGAAATTGCAATAGTAAAACAGTGATTTTTATATGATATTATAAGCAGTACAAATTTAAAAATACATGTACCCACGAGTTCCTGGAAAATATATGAAGCTATTAAAAACTGTTAATAAGAATGGTTGTAACCAAGTACGAAAAGTAAACTGCACTGTTTTTTTTTTCTAGCAAATGCCATTCCCAATTCAACACGATTTAACACAACAAACGTGTGTTTTGAACACTCTTGAGAAAACGGCTGATTTTTTTAAACTTTGTGCATCAAGGCTACTTGAGATTATCAAATTGAAAATTTTTCTTGATGAATAAAAAAAATCTGAGAAAGACACGAAAACTTCTAATGCTGTTCTTTATGTTAGGTTTCGGGAGGATGATGACGACATCTCCCCTTACATCAAGGGACTTACCTTCCATGATTATGATAACCAACCAGATCTCATGTTTGACAAGTCACAATACAAAGCCAAAAAGTCTGTAAGTAGGCCATAGGTAAAGGCAATGATAGAGTACAGAAATTAATTAAGTTTGAACGTTCAAGCATTATCATTTGACATGCATAATACAATTAAGTGTAAATTTTTTAAAGAAAAGTTTAGAATCAGTCCTTGTAACTTATTTTTGCTGAAAGATTTTACAAGTATCACTACTAGTACTCTATTTAAATTACATTTCTGCAGATGATCTTCGTTTTAGTGAATACATATATTGATAGACGTAATTTTTTTCTTATAGATTCGAGTACCAGAGGAGACCAAAAGAATTTTATCAAAACCCCCCTCACAGCGAACTGAACAAGAGCTCTACTCGGTAAATAACAAAAAAATTATCGGTATTCTATTAAAATACACCTGACATAATTCAAAACTTTGGACTACATGTTCTTCGAGAAAAAAAAATTAAGTTGTTTTATGTGCAAAGCAAAACTTAAATCACAAACCAAGAAATGGGTCCTTCATTTGTCAAATAAGAGACAATCATGTAAGAATGCAAAGTAAAATTACTTTTTAAGGCTCTTCTGACACTACGCAACATTGAAGCTTTTGCTGCATATCCGAACAGAATGCAAAAAATGATTGTTGAAGTAGGACAATATGAGAGGTGAGCTTTTACGAGATTTATGACAAATCTGTGTTTAATTTGCTCGTTTTTCAATGTATTTGTTAATTATTCACTCTTTATCGTATATTTTTAACTTTTGTTGTTAACACAGGTTTGAAGCCAAGCGAATTGTTGTAAGACAAGGACATCCGGGTTCTTCGTATTATTTCATGCTTTCTGGTGCTGGTAAGGCAGATACCTGACTCTTTCTTTATATGTATAAGTAAAAGGAAATCTACAAATTCATTCTTATATAATATAAACGTTTGGTAATAGTATTCTTCATGCGATTAGATTTATTGCCAATGCTCATACATGTATTTTAATGACAGAAACATGTATGTACCCTGAAATAAAGTTAAAATTGTTTACAAGTATAACACTTAATTTTTAAAAAATTAATAATAGCTGTCCTCTGATATTTTATAAAGGCATTTTATTTTTTAGCTGTTGTCATGGTTATGGAAGATCCAAATTCATACGCCCGTCCCATCAAACATCTGGAAAAAGGAATGGACTTTGGTGTAGGTTGTCCCAGCTTCAATTAGAATGCAATAGGCAGTGTAGTTATCAAAAGATTCAGAAATTATGTCCTCTACTCCCGTCTACTGTCAATAAATTACTTGTTTTGGCCGGTTTTTTTGTATAAACTGCTTTGTGCATGTGTTCCTTCCAAAGCCTTTTTTTTGCGTGACAAGGTAATGCCCCAAAACTGAAAATGCTGGGTTGTTGCCCAACTGAAATTGCTTTTTGGCCCGACTATAATGTTTTTATGAATTTAGTCTTGTGTATTGTCATTATAGTTTCTTTGATGATATACCTTGTGTCAAACTTGAATATTTGTAGAACATGAAAATCATATATGCGTTGTATGATAAATTGAATTTAGGAAAAAAGAAATGAATTTTTGTTTCTCCGATTTTACTAGTTGAAGAGAATTCTAGAAAAAAAAACAACTATCCTGCATCTATTTCTAAAAAGATTCTTGCTTTATAATTACACATAACCGTCATTCACGGTTTATTTTATTTCATTTTTAAAAACTTAACTATGACAATTGATGAGAAAGGATTTATTTTCAATATCCTTTTATGTCTAGGAAATTGCCCTGACTCTAAACATAAGAAGACAGGGCACCATCATCACAAAGGAACCCTGTGAACTGATGAGCATTGGTCGGAGGGATTACCAGCGGATATTTATGGCAGGAGGGGTCCGCAGTATACAGGACCCTGATCAGGAGAAATTCCTCAGGTACACTGTTGACACTAGGGATTAAATTTGACCCACATTACCCTTCAAGGAGATCTAAAAATACAGGAGATATTTAAATAAGAGTGTTGTACAATTTAACAGGGTTTCCTTTGAGTATCTGGGGGTATCAAAATACTTATTTTGATACGGTGAAGTATTTTGATATGGTGAAGTTTATTCAAGTACGTTTTCTTTTTGCCCAATAGTATTAAAGGAGAGAAGGGTTTAATAATGTTTCTTATATAGACGTTATTTTTCAATGTGTTTAAACTCCTTTTTCCTTATTCTTGACGTATAAAGAAAATTATACCAAAGTGGTTTGCTTTCATGATAAACTTTAAAGGTAACATTTGCCTTCAAAATGCTACAAGCACTGGCTATAAAAATAAATACATAATAATTGTTCATTAATGGATTTTCTTTGTTATATATAAACATTTTGTTCCAGGTTATCTAAAATAAAATAATTATGTGATTTAGGTTGTCCTTTTCTTTAAACACAAAACCATACTATTGATATACTTAGGTTGCATGTTCTATCATATTCTATTTCAGACATCTACCATTCCTCCATAACTGGCCAATACACCTGTTACCGGATGCTGGAGATAAAACACACTTCCTGTTTTTCAAGTATGGCTACCAGTTGAACTTATATAGTATATAAGACTTTATCGTGTTTGTACAAGGATGCTTCATGGCATTTGATCCCACCTCTGATGTTTTTGAGGTCCGTGTTTGCTCTGCGCCTGTTTATCTCCATATGTTTTATAACAAGCATTTCCCTTTTCTCTTCCCATTTTTATAATTTACTTGGAAAAAGAAAAATCATTTCATGCGTGAAGAAGACGTTGTAGTATTATTTTCACCTTTTAATTACTTAAGTTAAATACCAACCAATCGGTCACTCTAATTTTAAAAGCAAATAGAGGAAACAATCTTGAAATCAAGACTGAATTAGTTGTGTTTAGCTATTGGTATCACGCTATAATTTTCTTTTGCTTCAGACGTGGTGCCACAATCGTCAAGGAAACGAATCTCTCACAATGGATAGTCATCGTGAAATCGGTATATTTTATCACATTTACTTGATGTGTTCATTGAATACTTGTAAAGATAATTAATTTTTCTGTGTCAGACTGTCAGTTATAAAATGGGATGAAGAATATACTGATTTAAATTATAATTCATTGATAATTTAGGGAAGTATAAGTATACTCAAACGATTGAAAAGAGTGATGCCATTTGAATGGAAACAAAAGAGTAAGTTATTTATGACAATAGAAATTTCTATAATAAGTAAGCTACCTGTTTTCTCTTGACTGTTACCTATATTTCTCTCCTTTCAAACTGGAAATCGACAAAAAAGAGCATATATGATCACTGATAAATAGTCTTCTTTTGGAGATCTATGTAAATATATCGATCCATTTTATCAAACAGAGGAGATCAAGTTTGTGACGGAGAAAGAAAAGCGGGATAACTACGCCAAGCGTCTCGTACTCAGACGTCATATACTGTCGGAATTAAAAATCCCCCTAAAAGGAAACACAGTGGATGATGAAGATAATCAGTTTGAAGAGTATCCAGGAAAATACAAAATATTTATCCACCCAGGCGAGGACCCAAAGCTTGAGGAATCGGAGGCAACAACACCACTTATTGATGGTTTGCCAGAAATCAAGGAAAATAATTCAAAGAAGACATCTTTTCAAAATATTCAAAGAAGACTTTTGCCGAAGTTATCTGAAGCTTCTGGAGAAGAAAATGAGGAAGACAATCCATTGTTTTCTAATATGAATAAATCTGAAAGACATCCTGGGTTTGGATTACAAAGGGAAGAAACCTCTTTTGATATTTTAGCACCAGTGCCATCAAAAAAGAAATTACAAGAAAGACAATGTGAGAAAATGTTTTTAACTCATAATTTTTTGGATCTTTAATCATACTTCCAGTTAATTTGAATTTAAAAGTTAAACTGATTTTATTTCTAACAATTAAATTAGATTCAAATATCGGTAATACTAAATTGTTTTACAGCAAATCGCAGAGAAAGTATATTAGAGAAAGAGAGGGAAATGATGGGTTTTGAAGAGAAAACAAGGACTGTTCAGGATGACCTTGATAATGTGGTGAAGGTGATATTCTTGAAACACCAAAATTTGTTTCTTTATTCAATTTGAAGAAAGTTAAAGAAAGCTTTGTCTTCTCCATCAAATACTGATTGCAGAACACTTCAAACACTTTTATGACAGAGACATAAATGTATGCATTGTCCTTCTAGAGAAGAATCATAATGATTTTAAGTTTTAAATGTTAATAATTTTTTTTTCATAGTAAAGAATGTCCTGTGGTTGAAATAGAAGAATTCTCATAAAAACAACGTAACATTAAAGAATTCAAAATTTTAAAATTTTGTCTCGTAAATATGGAAACTAAAAGCCTTCATAAAAAACAATTTCAATTAAATTTAGAAAGATTGTCCATGGTGTTTTGAGAAAAAGATGCATTATCTGGAAGATCACAAATGCTTTACATTACCAAAGACAGGCTTAAAATGGAATTCAGACATTTTTAGGTTACAATTCAGTTATTTTCATAGAAGTGAATTATTTTTAAGGATCCAGATGAATTAACGCTAGCAGATTTGAATCCAGAATTTGTTCGAGTACAGACATTAATAAAAGGCCAAGTTTTTGTAAGTTCAATATTGATTTCTCTACTTAAAATTGCTTTCTTGTTCAAAACTATGAAATCATTGTATTGTTTGTAAACAAATATAATGAACCTCAATTTACCGCATTTATTATACAGGGGTTATCGGACCTGATACTGGAACAGAAGACAAGCTTTAGTATCGTTAGTAACGGTGCTGACGTCATACTCATAGACCAACAGTTTTACCTCAAACATGCACCTGAAAAGCTTCTTTCGAAAATGAGACAAGAGGTCAGTATTTCTTTTTCATGCACTGGAATGAAGAAAAAGGAACTGCTCGGTAGCCGTATTAATTTGAATTTTAAAAAATAATACAACAGAATTTTCATCCGTATTCTAGTTAAGTGAAACATAATCATATCTTTCGCTTCCACATGTTCCAATTGAAATAAAAAATATAATATAATAAAATAGCAACTGATAATAAGAACTGAAAGCTGTATTCCTGTAATAAAATGATAGCAGTTAATAAATCTTACTTAAAATTTCAAGTTACATATTTCTTTTTAGTTGTATATGTTTTAATTAATAAATGTTAAACCGTTATTTGCCATAACTAAACAAATTCTTGAAATCTTTACTACTAATAGTGGACAAAATATATTTATTCAGTGATAATCTTTGAGTTTGTTCAACTGGTATTGTCCCTTTTCTTTTTTTTTTCTAGCTTTGTCCGTACCCAACAGATGACGATCTACAGACTCGGCTACAACAGAGTGTAGACTGGGACGCCTATAGATCGAACACCATGTCTAACACTTTGAAATACCTCGAAACTAGAAGACAATTGCGTCACACACTCAAAGTTTAGCGAAAGTTGTTGATTCTAAAATAAATTTTTTTCTGCTTCTGACTACAACATCACATTTGAAAATGAAACAAGAAACTTGTCACAGTCTAGGAGGAGATAAACATTAATCGGCGATCTTGTTCAGAGGAAAAAAAAGCCAGAGACTCTTATTTATATTTTTCGATATATTTGGAGCAAGAGTTATTCCTCGTTGGTCGGCATATCTAAATTCCTTCATTGTTTGTCATACTGGTAAAAGAAGCACATTGTTATGTAAAGAATGATAGGTTTGTAAAAGTTTCATTTATTTGTTTTATCATTTCATATTTTTAAAGTTATTACCACATATATTATTACAGCTTCAATTTCAGCATAGCGAACATAAAGAAATAACTCAGAAGGAACAATGCACAATATAAAAACGTAACCTCTTTCGGAATAAATGCTTCAATAAAAACTTTTTGGTTAAGGCAACTGTACATGTAACAATTAATAATTTAAGTGGTTCTGTTTGTCTCAAATTATATTTTTTTCAACTAACTTGATTATGTATGTTGAATTTGAAAAATTCATAAAGATAATAATGTTCAAACCATATCATACTTATCATTTTATCATTTTTATCAACTGGATGTATAAAAGATTATTCTTTGAAAATATTTCATTTCAGTTAATTAGTTTCTGTTCTTTGATAATTACATGTGCCAAACAAAGCTGCAATTGTGAATTTTGCTATCGCAATGTAAAGTAATTTTCATTATTTTTGGAAAATAAATTGTTAAGATATTGATATCTTTAAGATAACCCATTTACAAAACTTTGAAATATACATGCTGTAAAACACATATAACGTAATGATGCTCAAAGTGATTATATATATTGCAGACATAAATGTAAATGATGTAATGAATTATATTTATAGAAACAAAATATACCGTCCTTGGCAAAATTTGAACTTTAAGATGATTATTACATAAGGGAAGAAATGAGTACATGGGCTTAAATATCAATCATCTTACAATGATGTAAGTTGCATTGGCGGAATCACTTGTTTTATTTTTTGGAGAGTGAGAGGGATAAAACGTTTTCCGAGATTATATACATTTGTATTTGTAATCCCACTTATTTATTGAATACAGAGATTCTCACAAAATTTCTCTATTATACTTTTTTATGACAGAATGGTAGAAAATATTTTTTTATATATCTAGATCTTGTATGTAGCATGCGAAGTTTAATATGATATTGGATTCCCGCGATCTTTGGCTGTGTTGGCTATACTTGTACCGTTTTTTATCATATCTAGATCTACTGAAGGAACTAACATGTAACTCTGTTTTCAAGCCCACCCGCATCCCACCCCCAAAAAAGTTTTTCAAATTCTTAAAGAAAATTCTTTATACTCTTCGGAAATGATACAAATCCATTCAATTTTAAGGCTTCCGTATTTTTTGAAACGTTTTTTTTTTTTTTAGTTTGGTTTTGTTTATTTTGTATTTGCTGTTTTGTTCGTACTGGGGGTACGCTTTTTAAAAAAAAAGAAAAAAAGAAAAAAAAAAAAGAAAAGGCCATAAAACAAAGATAGTATTTAGCACAACCTTAGATATTTCCATACAAGTCTGTGAATCTTTCTGTCACAAAAGTTAAAAGATTTTTCCGAGAGTTTTATATTTCTTTCCATGTGAGTTAATTTTTATGACAAGAACAGTTAATTTGTCCATATCTCGGCAACCCCCTCTTTAAAAATTGCTGGATCCGAGACCGTTTTCAAGCGTTGTACACTTGGTTTAAATTGGGAGCATGAAATTTACAACATTTGTAACAACAAAACACCTGCAAATTTAATTACCTGGATTTAAGTATTTGCTTTATAGGAACTCATTTATCTCAATAAACTGTGTACAAATTATTATATGATACTGTGATGACTTACAAAAAATTGTACAGTCGTTTGTTGAACGAGTTCTTCCAAGTACAAGTGACCTATTGTCACAAACAAGGAGAGAAACTTTTTTTTTTTATAACCTTGTGTATGGCTATGTGTGTACCGAATTTCATTCTAATCTGAATTGTGGTTTTGTAGATATAGAGATAGTTTGTGAACTTTTTGATCATCCCTCGTATTTAACCAAGTATAAAGAGACTCTTCGATCTGTTTACATTCTACTACAGGCAGATCCTAGCTGGGATGTAAACTGCAACGGAGTTATAGCTCTTGGTGTCTTCCACTTCATTTTAAGAAATTCAATCATGTATTTATTGTTAAAGCCCTTTTATTTAATTACAAAAATTTTCATGTTACTATATGTATATACATATATAGCTTGGAAAATCATTAAATGAACTGCATTTAATTAAACGCATTTTAATATAATGAAATAATTAAGGCTCATTCTGATTATGACAATGCATGCGTTTGTTTCAACGAAAATAATCTCATGTACTTTACACTTCATGGCACATTTCGATACGGGAATAAAATTATAAATAATGAAAATAAATGACAAAAATAATTGCAGCTTTTTACACATGACAACATATGGTACAAAAATACCAGTCACATCAAAGTTCTCATTAAAAAGAAATTCCCCTTGAGCTTACACAACGAGGTCCTTCTTTTCTAAATTAAATTGAGATACTGTCCTACACATGAATTCATGTTAAAATACCATAGGTATAATTTTAGTATACCTCATTAAGATTTCAATATTTTGCATGAAGACTTTGATTTTTTTTTTTTTTTTTTTAGAATATTGATCTTTTTTTTTAAGACGGATTAAATGCTGGAAGTGAAATATTCGTGATGCATAATAACTAACCCTGAATATTTCCTTCATCAGCAAGTCTTTTATGTATCCAAGATTTCAAAGAGCTTAACCTCTTTAGAACGAAAACTATAGTCATTCCACTTCGACGAGAAATTCATTTCATTTACGGTAGAATGTTAATTTTTCTGATTGAAATTCTGTAAAATCAAAAGCTTGCAATGGAAATGAATGAAGCAGAAATTCTATGCGGTGATATCGATTCTAAGCCAAGGTATGTATGCCTTTCAATTGAAATTCCCCATGCTTTAAATTAAAAAAAAAGGGATGTAAAAAGGATTTGAACAATTGTTGATTATTTTCTAATTTAGTATCTAAAATCAATTACAGGTTGATAGCCCCTATGGAATATCGATAGTTGAAACCTCGGTTACCTTTTAATAAATATAAATTTTGAACCTTGAAATTAACTATTGAATTAACAATGATAGAAACATACCATCATACAATGATATGATTGAAACATACATCGTGAAATTTTATTGTCTGTGGTCTTAATTAAATTTTATTCTCGTAAGTGAGCTCTAGAATGTGAATTTCTGTTTTACAAAAGTTTTACTTTTTAAAACTTACACCTCAACTTATTTTCTAATTGTGTACAGAAAAAAAAAATTGTTTAATTATCTATACAGTCTATAAGCACTGTATTTGATTAAGTGGTAGGTGTAATTTTCATGCATTTAATTTTTTTCATATAAAATATCGTCCTGAAAATCGTTTAAGTAAATGTTAATCTTATCAAATAACTATAATTAAACATATTTTTGTATGCGTTTCACAAACATGTAATGTGCACGATGTTAATATTTTGTTGATGTTGTGTTTTCAATATTTCCGCGATGTCTCAACAGTAAACAGCGTCAATACTGATTTATCACAAATAATGGGAGGGGAGACTCATTTCGTCCTGAGAAAGGCCAGTGAGATATAAGTAGTTACCTATCCAAATGTCACTCTATTGACATTGTATATATTTATATCTGAAAAAAGTCCAAATATCAATACAAATTAAGCCCTATTTTTCTAAAATATGAAAGTGATATAAGAAATTAAAATTAATTCATTATAACATTGACCTCCTAAATGCAAATTGTTATGTCATTAACTTGTGTATTTTCCCGTATTTTCTTACAAAGTTGCAGAAGACATCAATTTTCAGTGGAATTTTCTTTCAGAAAACATACTCTGCCACCGTCGCCCACAAAGATTTTGAGATATGTGATTTTTCAAAGCAGTTTACATAATATATCCAAAAATTGAAGTGGGCGACGGTGGCAGACACTATATTCTACAGGGAAATAAGCAGAGAAATGAGTCATTCTGAGGCTTTTCTGCATTTAATTTAGAAATGTACCAAATTAATGCCACCTTATTTCCAGAATATTCCTCCTTCATGCAATATTCTTTGATGATTTATCATATTCATCTACTCAACTCTTGTTAAAGTCAATATCATAACTTTTTTTAAGAACATTTAATTTTTAGGGCACAATAAAACACAAACCGTACCTTCTTCTTTCTTTTTATATTGAAGGAATGGACCTTATTTTAACCTATGTTATACGATACATGTGTAACATAACTTGGGGCAGTTTACGCTTTATTAATCGCGAAGCGGTTTATCAAAAATCGTGAACTGTCCCAAATTATGTTATATCGTATAACATAGGCTAAAATAAGCTTCATTCCTTATAAATTAATGTCAGAATAGACAATAAGACAATTTTTCCTCCAGAAATGACTTCAAATTGAGCATATTTAAAAATTAACGTCAAGCGGAGTAAGAAGTTGTTGACGTAACTCAATATGGCGTACGCAACTTATGCTATACAATATAAAATAAAACTTTTATCCAATTAAATGACCTTTTACAACTAAAATTAAAATTTCAATGCAACAAATGGAATGAATTTTTCGTATTTATTAGTTAAAGTTTTATTACCTCTGTAATTAAGTTCTAATTCTATAAATTAATTGCAAAAAAATCTCTTCACGCTTTTCACATTGACACCAGCAAAGCATGCTTAATTCCCCATAGTGTGAAAGACCAAAACATTAACTAATTTTCACACAAGGCAATGAAGTTCTTAATGGTCTAGCTAAGTTAATGACCTGTCAGACCCCAAACACTAATGAAAATCTCTACATGACATTGCCAAGTCTTTCAAATAAACTCTTTTTGGTAGAAAAGCAGCGATCTAATAAGGTATTCTATAAAATCAGTAAGGCTGAAAATTTCCCGCACTCAATAAACCGCGTTGTCATAACGACCATACGATGCCATCCGGCAAAACACGATAATCTCGTTTGGCAATGGAAATCTGGAATTAATTTCTTGAAATCAAGGACCCTGTCCCTTCCAAAATTATCTTTTACATATTTTGTATAGGTATTGAATTCTGTGACATGAAATCAGCTTTAATTGTAAGAATCTATCTGTCTCATTTCTTGCCACATGTAAGAGAAAGTATAATTTTATTATGACTGTGGTCTCTTTGCAAA